TGCCTCCTCGGCTGCTGCAGGACCAGGTGTGGAGTTTACAGGCTCAGGCGCTGGCAAGCTCTCAACTTGTGAGGAGACAGAGAGGCCGGCGTCTTGTTCATATACCCCAAAACTGTTGTTGGTCTCTAAAGTGCTTCTGGACTTGAATCTAGTTGCATGTATATAAGTAGTGTAGAGGGGAAAAAACATGATCTGAAGGAATTTAAAGTTATTCTAACACATATAGGCAGGGCCTGGAGTTCTCCTAGAATTCCAACTGTTCTTCAGACTACAGAGATCATTTCCTCTTAGGTTTGCCAGTTCTGGGTTGGGAAACACCTGGACATTTGGGGGGTGAAGCCTGGGAAGGGCAGGATTTGGGGAGGAGAAGCACCTCAGTGGGATATAACGCTATAGAAGCCACCCTCCAGAGCAGCCATTTTCCCCAGGGGAACTGATCTTGGCCATGTGGAAATCAATGTGATAGTGGGAGATCTCGACTTGCGTAAATGGGTTGCCAACAGGCCTGGGGGGGAATGTTCTGTCACTTTATTATAGGCTTAATGTATGAAAATGGGCAGCGGAGGCTTTTCAAGGCAAGGAGATAAATAACAGCACCTGGTAAACAACATCCTACTAAGTCTCTACTAAAGGGAATGGGATTTTTTTCTCTCTCCGGGCAGTTGGCAACCTTACCTACACATGATCCAATTCTGAAATTACTTTAAGAATTCTGCTAGGTGATCCTAAATTAAGGAGCAGTGGAACACCATGTAGAGAAAAATCCGGAACAGTAAAGGAATGGAATGGGGGAAGTTTCACTCAGTCCTACTTTTGATGTGTATAAAATGCAGGGCTATTTTTGGGCAAGAGCACACAGGAACCGAGTTCCGGTTGGCTTCTGAGTTGGCCACGCCCACTACAGCCAAAACCTCTGCGTGCGTGGCTACAGAGGGAAGGCCTGGAGAGCAACACCCCTCCGGTGACTCCAAGGCGGGTAGGCCAGGGGGGGCCTGGAAGGATCATTTAAATGCCTCTCCATGCATTCCCTGGCCTATCCAAGGGCCGGCTTTCCCACGACCCCCACCGTCCTGGGGGACCTGCGCCACCCGGGCAAGCCAAGGGAAGGCAGTTTAAACTGTTTTCCCTTCCCTTCAAGGGGGGACTAGCCCGGGCTCCCCGCAGCCACGGGGCATTCGGGCAAGTAAAGGGAAGGCATGGGGTGTGGCCTAATATGCTAATGAGCTACACTGTCAGGGATGTGGTCTAATATGCTTATGAGTTTCTGCTTTTGGGTGTGGCTTATTATGCTAATGAGTTCATGTTGGGCTTTTTCTACAAAAAGCCCTGATAAAGTGCCATCAAGTCTCAGCTGCCTTATGGTGACCCAGTAGGGTTTTCAAGGCAAGAGGCATTCAGAGGATGTTTGCCTGTCTCTGCGTCACAACCCTGGTATTCCTTGGTGGTCTCCCATCCAAATACTGACCAGGGCTGACCCTGTTTAGCTTTTGAGATTTGATGAGATTGGGCTCACCTGGGCTATCCAGGTCAAGACCTGCTTCTGATATCCAAAGGTATTGGAATAGCAATACTTTGCAACATTGGAACAATTATGTATGAACTGCTTCAGAGCTGGCTTCTAAAGAACCGCTGTCTTGGACATCCATGGCAAATTAGAAACCAAAGGTTTTGAAATGCTGGCTCTTTGTTTCAGTCATACATGTGTGTGTATGTGTGTGTGTATAAATTCACCAAATAGTATATTTTCATTGGACTTTCCCATAGTGTGCTGGTTTCTTTTCTTTTTTTTTTTAATTGGGGAAATCATGTTGCGCTCTGGGGTCTGGAAGAATATTATTGCTATTAATTTGTTTTTATGGGAAGAAATAGATCAAATTAATTTGCATTAGCATAAACTCATGGATATCCAAGAGAGCATGACTCAAAAAAAGTCTTGTGAATAAAACAGTAAGGACGGCTGATGGATCGTTAAGTATGCAAATAAATCCAGTGCTGTTATGTTCTTGAAGTGGTTTTAAAAAAAAGTTCTGGCTTGCACAGAATTGCTAATTGTAAAGGATGCTGGCTGCTACTCGTGTAAAGTTACCTAACATAATGGGGGGGGGGTTCATACATTTTGTCAGAGTAAATTCAGTAATTATCTGTGGGATCCTCGGCTATCTGATTTACTGCTAATACACAGTGGGGACCATTAAATAAAGCCAACATTTACCCTGCTTCCCTGTTTGCAGCACTGGCTATATTTTAAATGGCAAACACGAGCCAGGCCTCAGTAAATTCAGGTACTGAGCAGGTTAAATGATGATCAGGTTAATGATGTCAACTTTGCCCAGGAGCTGCAGAAAAACGTAAAAGATTTACTATGCAAAGAGAGGGAGAAAGAATGTGCTATTAGCCATCAGATCTGCATCCAATTTCAATTGAAGTTTGTTGGGTTTTAGGTTTGGGGTTTTTTTCCTGCCCCCAAATCAGAGCTCTAGAAAGAGTGCTGAATGAGAAACCTACCCTCCCAACAGCTGATCTTTTTATTTCAATTTCTAGGCTTTTTTAAAAAAAAACCCACTCATGTTCCAAAAAATAGAGGCGTAGAGCCAATGATATAGGGGCTGTTGGACCCTGGGAACAATGTAAGAGCAAAGCAGAGGTCTGCATTAGGGAGGAACAATTTATCATCTCCTTCTGCATTCTCCTTGAATGGAGAATGCAGTGGAGATCTATAAAGCATATACTATTTTTTATCATTTTACCATTTTCTTTCACCTTTTCTCGTTTTTAATGATTGTTCCTGCTTTTGGTTTTTATTAGTTCGGGAGTGGGGGTTGTTTTTTTTTTTTTTAATGGTTCAATGATGCTGAAATCTGTTGGAGATATTTTAATAGTGAGGGCTATATATTTCTCCCAGTAAAAATAAAGAAATAAATCTCAGGCTCTTAAATTGTAACCATAAAGCCATTGAAATCAGTGGATTGTAACCCTCCTTTGGATTGCATGGACTAAGCTTTGCTATCCAGTGATGCCATGGAAAGCTGACGGGGAAATGGAGGTCCATAAATGTGGGGCAGCCATTAAAAGCCCCTGCCGATGGGTCACAGTACACAGAGGCAGAACTGAATGATGTTGAGCCAATCTACATATTACAGAGACTGAGCAGATACAGTCCTGTATTGTACTATTTTTTAATGTAACTGAGGGTGTCATTTTGTTTAATGCTTGGGAACACAACAGTTGAATCACTTAAGTTGGAGGAACAGCTAGATAGTAGCCCTGTAGAGACCAACATGAATCTCAAGGTATAGTCTGTGACGAACTGATCTCCAAAAGCAGGGTGCTTAGGGCATCATATTCAGAGATCTGGGAGATTAGGGGTGAATGTCTCACTGTAAAGTAGAGTTTAATTGACAGGTTGCTGCCTGTGTGCACCTCTTCTCTCTAATTGGTCAGTGCCAGCTGAGGAGTACTTTAAGAGCAGCTGAGTGCTGAGAAAAAGAGTCAGTCATCATTTGGAATTTGGCTTGGCTATAGCCAGTCAAGAGAAATGTGTGTGTGTCTATATGAGGGAAACAGACAAGGCACTTAGGAAGTGAAGGGACACAACCCCTTGCCTTTACTGTGTACCAACACATTTGAGGAAAAGTTCAGAAATCAGAGCTCGAAAGTCTAAGTGTCGGCCCGAGCTGAATTCCATTTATTCACAGTCTTCACAACTGGGGTTTAGGTTTGACAGAAGAGACTGAAAAAGAGGTTGAAAACTGTCAGTCTGGCCTAACAGAAAAAAGGATTAGCACTCCTAGAAAGAGCAGGATATTTCTTACCCAGTTATTCAGAGGGTTCAACTCAGAAAGGACCCCTGGCTTATGTGAAAAGGGAAACAGTCTTAGAATCCTCAAGAGTAAAAAAGGGAAAGTTGTAATCCCACAAGGGAAGTATTTAAATACAGGAGGAAAGTACTAACTTCCAGGAAAGTAAGACAGTTTTACGAAACTTTATGAAGACACATTGTTGCTGAAAGAAATCTTCAAGACAAAAATCCTCTCACAGTTAAGAACTGAATTTCTAAGAATATAAACTTCAACTATACTCTGTTTCCTGTTCAAAATATTATAATTTCTGTAAACAACCAAATTTGCTTCAGCTTCTCATCCCCTGCCCTATTCCTAACTCAACTGTGTCTGTTCAATAAAGCAACCTTTCTAGCTGTTCCACAGCAGCCCAACATGGCTACTCTTGAAATTAAGTTGGAGGATGGCTCTTTAGGCTGGAAGGAAGCTTCAAACTTTGTTCCATATAGTGGTAGGATAGCGGGTAGGATCCACACCCCAATAGGGCTGCAATGTATATTCTGTAATTTCAATGTTTGCCATTCAGTGCAGCCAAACAATGCTGAAAACACCATTTGCCTTGCTAAACATACATTTTATTTCCATTCTGTTTGGTACATTTCTTTCTTTGTCTGGCTGCTTTTGCCTCATGTCCTCACTGCCCTTGGCCTCATCTGCCAACACAGCCATCTAATTTGATTTGCTACCACACTGAATGTGATTTTTATGAGTACCAGTGGCGTCACTACATTAAAAATAGCAGTGTGGCATCACTGATCACCATGTCCAATAGATGGAAATAGTATGGACTAGTAAGACTAGTGATAGAGAGGAGAAAGTAACTGGGAACATCAAAACAAAGCAAAAGTGTTCAGTTTGACTGCCCATAATTGGCAAAAATGAGACGTATATCCTATTCATGATCATACGTCAGCATGGGTAGCCATGTTAGCTCGTTTGTAGCAGCAGAAAAAAGCAAGTGTCCAGTAGCACCTTAAATACTAACAACATTTGTGGCAGGGTATGAGCTTTTGTGAGTCACTGCTCACTTCTTCGGATACTTTACTTCTTTAGATGCTATTCATGACAACACATCCAAGGTAAGTAGCTTCGGTTCAAACCTAGAAAAAATAGTTTTGTTCTATATAGTCCTTATGCAAAATATGTTTGTTGCTCTTCCAGATAACACCCTTGACATTTTGACCAAACGTGGTGGATTCAGCCGGCAGAAGCAAGAAGTATATCTTCTTCCAATCATTATCAGTGACAGTGGAAATCCTCCAATGAGCAGCACCAGCACCCTCACCATTAAGGTCTGTGGTTGCAGCAGTGAGGGTATTGCCCAGTCCTGCAATGCTGAAGCTTATGTACTCCCTATCGGTCTCAGCATGGGAGCTTTAATAGCAATACTAGCCTGCATCATTTTGCTGCTAGGTATGTATTCAATTACCAATCAGATAGAATTCCAAACATCTGTAACACATAAATGACTGTAACTCAACAGTACAGATACATCTTTCTGGAAGAAGGTTTCTGTGAAAAACACATTTAAAATTACAAACACATTTTTAAATATGCACACATTTTCAAAAATGGGGAAAATATATACTATTGTTGCCCATATGACATATGGGACTGGGTCCAACCCACATTCCACTGGATCATTCTCAATTCCCCTCCTTACTACAACCCCCATCCAACATGGCTTTTGTTCATGCAGGTCCCGTTATCCCCAGCATAGCCTTCACCATGGTCAAACCGGACCCCATCCTGTTTTTTCCACAAGTAGAAAAACTGGTTGGATCCAATCCATGGTGTGTACATCAGTGAGTGTGAGATCCTCAGTAGAAAGTAATGCACTTTCAGTTTCTTCTCAAGGGTAAGATTGTACATAAAACTGGGTTCATTTGTTTAAAATGTTTCTGTGCCACTTTTCTGTCCATGCCCGTGAATTAGGACAAACCCAGATTTGCCCTCACAAGTGCTGTTATGTGCTAATCCTATAGCATATACTACAGAACTGCAGGGTTTTGCCACCCAACAGTATCACCACCGCCCCCAGTTATGAGTAAAAATACAGACAAGTCTTATTGATTAGGCCTTTTCAATATGGTGTTATGAGTCCTACATTCTGTGCAACTGTGTTGGATTCAGTCTGCTTTTATGCTTAATCTTGCCCAGTTCTACCCCTTACTACTGCCCCATCCCTAGGGTTGACAGCCCTTGAATGTATTGAGGGGTTAAGACTAGCCAAGACATCACTTGATGGGGAACAGGAAGTGATGTCACATTACTCTAGGAATTTTAAACTCTGTATGGCAAAAACTATAGATATTTTGAAATTCCTAGAGCATCCTGATGTCAATTCCAGTTTCACAATGTAGAGACCTAACATTCCTAGAGCATTGCAACATCACTTTCTGTTCTGAAACCAAAAGTGAATTCCTGGGGTCAATTGATCCCCTCCCCTCCACATATTTCTCCCCGCCATTCCACTGATAGAGGGTGGGGGATGGGGAGTGTTGATGGGAGGTTGGCCACCAGAACTGGATAAGTGGCAACCCTACCTATCCCATATGGCCTTTGTCCGTGCAGGTCCAAAGTTCAGCATAGCATTTTTTGTTGCTCAAACAGGAAAAAAGGATTGAATCCAATCCAGTGAGACACTCAACATATTATAAAATTGTATAAATGGAGGAGAGGTAGTGAAAGTGCTCCTCATGTGGGGCATCATGTTGTCTATGGCTATCCCTGTGCATTACAGCACATAGAATTTCTATGCAAAACGTAGGAGGATGGATCCTACTCCTATTCTACCACTCCACTCCAGGGAGCAAAGTTTGACACCTTTCACCAGCCTAAGGAGCCTTCCTCCAATGTAAGTGGCTGCTTAACCAGGATCAGAAGTCCACTGCTGTAATCCCATCCCTAGCTGTGGTGTGCAGGTTTGCTTAAAGGCTCCTACAGGTCAGTCCGCACAAAAAGCACCAGGCAATAAATTGAATTTGTCTCAATACATCTGCAGTTTGGGTGTCCCTCTTCTTGGCTGAGTGATGATTTTGCATCATACGTGAGAGCTGTTGTCAATGACAGCAGAGCTTGCATATGATGAGCTGTTACTCGGCAAATGGGCTGTTAACTGATCTGATGGACTGGTTATTGCTTCAGAAGAAATGTGCTTGAAATCAGGTTTGTTAGAGACAGATTTTTAAAAGAAGGGAGCAGTTGCCAAATTGAAGCAATACTAATGGCAGCTATTTCACAGGCTTATTGGAAAATAGCTATGTGACATTCAGTGAATTTTATAGAAATGTATACTAATCTTGTGAAAGAAAAAGTATAATTTACATGCTTTCAGTTTATATGCCCACAGTATACGTACATAAACTGGATTCTCTTGCAAGGTAGGGGGAAATGGGAGGGGGAGACCAGAAGAATTTTGCCTTCAAGATTGAGCCTAATTATTGCAAGGGGGGGACAAGAAGACCATGTAGATATTAGGAACTCATTCAGCTGGATCAAATGGGAATGGTATCATTTGTTCCAGTAGACACCCTAGCAATGCAAGCTCTTAAACCGTACAACTAAGGATAATTTTAAATTTCTTATGCTTGGAATTTTAACCTAAAAGTCCACATTCAATTTCACTTCTATTTTGTGCTCCCCATTTTCCCTCAAGTCATTTCCTCCTATAACATTACACATTTTTAAACTTTTTGTGGCAATAAATCAGCAATATGTGTATGTATGTATAGATAGATAGCACACAACCATATGTGTACTCAATGCAAATAAATCTGTGCAGCAAAAGCAGTGCTGTCTCAATCTCTTGAAGTTGGGAGTATGAAATGCCATGGCAGGGTCGGCTCAGAATCTTGATCAGGCCTGTATTTTGTGTCAGAGATTGAATGCATGAACCACTTGCACGAAATACAATTTTGGAGATGTTATCATAAGTATGCAGCAAAAACAGTGCTGTCTGGCAGGGTCAGCTCAGAATCTCGATCAGGTCTGTATTTTGTGTCAGAAATTGAATGTATGAACCAAATACAATTTTGGAGATGTTATCATAAGAACATAAGGAGAGCCCTTCTGGATCAGATCAATGGTCCATCTAGGCCAACATCCTGTCTTAGACAGTGGCCAACCAGTTCCTCCGGAGATCCAACAACAGGACACAGAGGCCACGGTCTTCCCCTTATTTTGCCTCCTGGCACTGGTATTTGAGGTTATCATGCAAGTGCATGTGTGCCCGTCACCCGCCAAACTGCTCATGCCTGTTCCATGGACTTCCTTGTACTGCTGTGTGTAAGGTACAGCCTTGTAGCAACCAGGCAATTGTAGCTGCCCATCAAAGAAAAAAAAGATCTGGACTTTGCAGTTGAACTTGAAGACTCAGAAGGTGATTACAGTGATAGTGAACATTAAAAAATAGGGTAAATAAAAAAATTTTTAGAAGTTGTGACATGATAGTGTAACATTTGTAAATCAAAATATACATACTGAACTGTTGCTGAACTCAAAAAATTAAAAGATATTTCTTTGCAGTAACACAAAGTTGCCTATTATCCAGTTACATTAGATAAAAACATCACATAAAACACAAGACTGTATCTCCTGTGCCTAACTATGGTGTTTCAAAATGAATTTCTTCATTGTATGGCTCATTTGAAATGCAAAAGAATAAGCTACAATTGCCTAATATACTTCAGGTGACTATCTGGATTAGGTAAAGCATCATATGCAGTGAATTGTATAACATGTGGAAAATAGATTTGTTGTTGTTGTTCAGTCGCACAGTCGAGTCCGACTCTTTGCGACCCCATGGACCAGATCACGCCAGGCCTTCCTGTCTTCCGCCATCCTAAAATAGATTTACTCCTTTATTAATGTCTTGTATCACAAAAATGATAATGGACAGAGGCATTATTAGTATTAGTTATTTGTAGGGCAATTTATTAGCTTCCCAACAGTGCTTTAAAATTTGGAACACTTGGTTCACCAGTTACAGCTCAAATTAGAAACAGAACACAAATTGTTTTCAGCCACCTGATGATATCATAAAAAGTTTAAGCTACCAATCAGAATGGCCTATCACATCAAAGCATGATATGTAGACATACACTTTTAAGGGGTGGGGGAAATAGAGCAGTTTTTTTGTTCCTTACCTGATACATCTGGTCTGGCCCATAGACTAAAAGACACCTCTTACTAGAGAATAGGTTCTGAGCTAGTGGAAGGAAGCCATATACTTCCCAGAAAAATGTAGTGAGCCAGTACTAAAAAACAGAATGTTGGTTTAGATAGACTTTGGTCGGATCCAGCACAACGTTTAAAAAAAAAAAAATCTTAAGTGTAACAAGTATGCCCTGGTATCTTTTTTGCTTTTTCCTAAGGTTTTAACTTAAGGATGAGTGGCCATACCCTAATTTTACATACATTTCTTTGTATTTTTGTCTACCATTTTGGAGCTCTGCTTTCTTGCTGCTGCTGTTGTAGATTTATTTGCACTGTGTACAGGTTTTATATGCAGTATTTATAATTTTAATATAAAATGCATACATTTTACAGAGAAGATGTCGTATGAGGAAACCAAAAATAGTGCATGTATAAAGAACTATTGGTTCAATTTGCATGAGGGAGAAGCAACTTTGAATCAAGAATCCTTGGGTTCTAAGCAGGGATGAAAAAAAATCTCTAGTTTTGTACCCTCCTAGAATTTATTTTCCAATAGAAGTTTATTTCAAATTCTAACCAGTTTGTGGTGTTTCATTTGCAGTCATTGTGGTGTTGTTTGTAACCCTGAGGAGACACAAGAATGAGCCCTTGATTATCAAAGACGATGAGGATGTGAGGGAAAACATAATCCGGTATGACGATGAAGGAGGTGGAGAAGAAGATACAGAAGCCTTTGACATTGCAACTTTGCAGAACCCAGATGGAATAAACGGATTTTTGCCCCGCAAGGATATTAAACCCGATCTTCAGTTTATGCCCAGACAGGGACTGGCTCCTGTCCCTAATGGTGTTGATGTTGATGAATTCATCAATGTCAGGCTTCATGAAGCTGATAATGACCCTACAGCACCTCCGTATGACTCAATCCAGATTTATGGGTATGAGGGGAGAGGCTCAGTCGCTGGTTCCCTAAGCTCCTTGGAGTCTTCAACCTCAGACTCAGATCAGAATTTTGACTACCTCAGTGAATGGGGGCCCCGTTTTAAAAGACTTGGAGAACTTTACTCAGTTGGAGAAAGTGACAAAGAAACTTGACAGTGGATTACAAACTTTTTTTCACTCTTGACTTAAACACTCATGTAATATTCTAGGGCCACTGCTGTTAGTTTTGACTAATGTGGCTTTTGTTTTAGGGGCAAGTTTAGCACCGGTCATCTATAAAATCAACTACATTGTAATGTTGAACCAAAAAAAGTGCATAACTCAAAAGTATATGTTAGGAGGTCCGAGTCTTGTGGAGTGTGAAGTGAAGTACGTAGAGTGTCTAGAAGTCTTTGGATATTCTATATTCACATGACCACTCTGAAGAAAGGGGTTTGGATCTTTGATAGCTTTCAGAGAAGTAAAGGGAAAAGATACTTTTCTACAGAACAGGCTTGTGTGAATTTTCGCTGAAGAAGAGTACGTTCTGAAGGACTTTGAAGAGCTCATGGTTTGTTTCTATGTTGCCAATGAAGATCCCTCTTAAAAAAAAGTTAAAGCAATATCTGGTCTTCTGTGCAATGCTGAATTAAAAAAAGAGAGAGAGAGAGCATTGGTAAAGTCCCTCTTGGCCTCAACTGTGCAGTGACCATAATTTGTACATAAAGTAATTGTTGGCCACAAAACTGCAGACTGAATATCATCTTTAAATATTGTGTCAAGCCTTAAAATATTCACATGTTCTTAATCCATTCCAGTGATGGGATTCAAAATCTACAGTTGTGTCAAAGTTCAGAAGTGGGGAAGAGCATTGAAAGTTCCCTCCTTTTAACAAAAAAAATGGATTGTTTTCTAGAAGAATCTCTCCTATCACCTACTTCGTCTTCAATAAAGGGGAAAAAAATCTGAAATGGGATGGACTTGCATATAACATACAAAAGCTGATTTTATTGCTAAAGAACAAAATTTATTTGTTTAATCCTTGAAATAAATATTTTATTGATGTCCATTAACTGCTTTTATTTATTAAGATTGGTTATAAAGAAGAGCTTACGGCGGGGGGAAGAAGTCTAAATGATATCCATTAATTTGTTTTCTATATATAATGAATGTTTAATAAACTGTACAGTTTGGAAACAAGACTTGAGCAACAAGCTGTCCATTAGCATAGAGGTTATATCGGAACACTAGCAGGGTGAAAGTGTTCCCAGAGGAAAACAGGAACAATCCTGGACCGTTTTATACTATGTTCATCAACCTAGTATCTGGTGTTCCGATACAAGCACAATCAGCTAGAAACAACTTGGTTCATGTGAATATTTAAAAAGAAAACTCTAAATTTTGAAAATGCTGTCCATTTCACCTTCAAATCAAACCTGCTTCTAGTTCACTGTATTAAAAGAAAAAAGCGGTGTGTACATAATTTTCTTGCTTATGTTTTTAGCCTTTCTTTTTTAGAATCGTCATGGTTATGCCCAGGGGTCTCCCTTACAAAAAGAGCAGCACTTAGAAGCTGTCGGCATCTTCGATTTGTAACTTACCATTTAGAAGTAGCAATTGTATAGTAAAAAAAAAAAAAAAGCAAACCTGAGTATTACATGAAAATCATTTTTACTCCCTGCCCCATTGTTTGTTTTGTTTTCATGCTCTTGTTTTATTTACTCCATGTATTGTATTCAGGAAGAACGGAAAAAAAAATCCTGTATTGTTTCCTACTTTGTGGAAATATATTTTTATAAATACCTTCTTTGTGATCACAGCTTCTTTCCATTTCCACTGCACCTGGCAGAGACGCATTGCCGCTCCTGAATCTCTGAATGCACAGACAGCCACTGCTTCTCCCAAGCCTTTGTATGAACCGATGGATTCCTTGGCTGTTAGCCATCACGCTAAATCCCTGCTTAAACCCAAGAGGTGAAGTCAGCACCAAACAAAAAGCAAAGATGCACACGTGTGCGCATGTACACACACACTCCTCCATTCCACAGGATTGCTTGGGATTGTATCCTACTCCTTTTGAATTCTGCTTAACTAGGAGGATTCCTAAAATTAATTCCATCAGGTGCTGTTTGCCACGGCAATCAGTTCCTTTGCTTCTTATTTCCTGTCTATGTTACCTGTGCAGGGGCTCATTGAGAAAGCACTGGGATAAAAATCTTGGTGTAATAGTGGATTTCCCTGAGCTGGATGGCTCAGGCTAGCCCCAGTCTCATCAGATCTTGGAAGCTAAGGAGGGTCAGCCCTGGTTAGCCCTTGAATGGGAGCCCACCAAGGATGTCCAGGGTCACTACGCAGAGGCAGGCAATGGCAAACCACCTCTGGACATCTCATTGAAAACCCTACGAAGTCCCCATAAGTCGGCTGTGACTTGATGGCACTTCCCACTGCCAATAGTGTATTGGATGCAGATTCTTTTCGTGTGGTGTTTCATATCCGTGCGAAGGAGCACAGATGTGCATCTGCAGACATTCACACTGCACAAAAAATAACCCCAATGTGATTAGATTCAGTGGGGGGGGGGATTGCAGATAGAATTGGCTCAGTGGATCATCCCCCCCCCCAGTTGCCTTCTGCTTGTCCTGAAAATCCTTTCTGAGAACCATGAACAAAATGCACCATGCCATGAGGAACAATAATCAAGAGAACAAAGTTTGAGTCCAGTGGCACCTTGAAGACCAAGGGCGATTTCGCACTAGAGCTGCCTCGCGGCGCAGCCCCGTTTGCCCCAACACAAACATGTTAATTTCACACCTGAGGCTGCGGGGCTGCATTTGACTGCAGAGGAAATCGGGTGAAGCCGCGAGTCAAAATGCAGCCCCGCAGCCTCGGGCGTGAAATTAACATGTTTGTGTCGGGGCAAACGGTGGCTGTGCCGCGAGGCAACTCTAGTGCGAAATCACCCCAACAAAGTTTCATTCAAGGTATAAGCTTTTCTAGTGGTCTTAAAGGTGCCGCCGGACTCAAACGTTGTTCAGCTGCTTCAGACCAACATGGCTACCCACCTGAATCAATAACCAAGAGAAATTGTCTACTCATCTTCCCCACTGTTGACTTGCATTGGCAGGGGATGTGATTTTCCTGTCCTTGCTGCAACCTGCTTTCCTGTGGTGTACTGTTCATGAGGATCAGGGGGGATCTTCAGGATTTCTGAGAAAAATAGTAGGTTTCTGGGGAGGGGGGGTTGGGGAAAGTTCCCCACATCAACTTTGTTAGGTAGCTCTTTTTTGTGTGTCTATTTTGCTAACGGAAAACTAAAACATCAAGGTAGGAGAGCCAGTGTGGCCAAATGGACTGACCATTGGGTTTGGGCCATTTGTCTATTTACTTCATTTATGTACTGCCCTGACCTGGATAGCAGAGGCTAGCCCAATCTCATCAGAGCTTGGAAGCTAAGCGGGATCAGCCCTGGGAGACCTCCAAGGACTACCAGGCCTCTGCGTCAGACAATGGCAAACCACCTCTGAACATCTGCTGTTTTGAAAACCCGACAGGGTCACTACAAGTCAGCTGTGACTTGATGTCAGTTTTTTTCCTCCCTAATGGGGACCCAAAACAGGTTACATTGTTCTCCTCTCCTCCATCTGATCTTCCCACCAATCTTTCAAGGTTGACAGTGTGTGACTAGACTCAGGTCAGCCAAGACGCCTCTGCAGCAGATTGAGGATTTGAACCCGGATCTCCCAATTCCTAGTCTGGCAGTCTAACCATTACACCAAGCTGGACAATGGAGACAGTAGCTCAAATCCCCAAGGAGTAGTTGATGACCTTGGGTCCATCATTACCTCTGTCTTTGTCTCATAGACGGTATGATTAGAAGGGCACCTTTGGTTCAGTTCCCATAAAGGAACAAACAGGAACAAAGGTATTCTTAAAAATGGCATTGACGTTTGCAGATGTCTTTTTTAATGAGTGCATTCTGCAGAGAACTCAAATGTGTAACACCCCTTCTGCACAACTGTAGAGGTTTTAATGAAATTAATGAAGTCTCGTGTTTATTGAAATGAGACTCTATTCACATGCTCTGTCTTTGAATAACTTTATTCAGTCCTGTGTTGCTAATAACAAACAGAATAGGGATTTGATTGAAAGAAAGGAAAGCCACATTCTCTAACCGTTGACAATGAAGCTGGGGGAAAGAAAATACATATCATTGCAAATTTCATGAATAGTCAACCACGTTTTTGCAAAGGCTCACCGGCTCCAAATCACCAGTTGAAAATGAAAAGCCCACATTTATTTCAGTTTTAAGCTGCCTTCTCTTGAGTGTCCTGGACTCTTGACATGCCTTAAATCAAAAGCCATGTAGAAAACATAGCAAACTCATTGTTTCAATAATGGATATAGGGTGAAATTGAATTACTCCCACAAAGTGAGGCACATTCCTCTGAGTCAGAAACCCTTTCCCCAAGGGAGGAAGAACCTAGAGAGTGGAAACAGTGGATCTAGCCTGTGACCTTTTAAAAAAAATCACCCCAAACTAGATTTACCAAGGGCATGATAAGCCAGTGAAAACACAATGGACAGGCTTCTACCAGCTTTTCAGCTGGCAAAACAGGAAGAAGAGGCCTTATTTGACCTCCAGAATGGTTATACTGTGAATTGTGGAATATGCCTGGACAAGAAACACATTGGATGGAAGCTGTATTAGGAAATGTGGCAATATGAAGCAGAAATGCTGGTAGCATACAACCCAATGACCTTGTAGCTCTTTAGCCCTTGGTCTTGGCGTATCACAGAAGAGACTAAGTTCATTTACTGTGAATTGACCATGGAGGACTTGGTAGATGCAAACCATCAAACATTCAGTCTTCCAAAATATACAGTGCAATCCTAAGAATGTGTTCCTGGCAGGAAGCCCAACTGAATAGACCTGAGGAGAATTCTGAGCTGACCTGCTTAGACCAGCTCTGATAATTGCCTGCAAAATGGGAAATGCATATTGGACTCAGTCTTCTTTATGCATACCCTATGCATACACTGTGTTCAATGCAAGACATTGTGGGCTCAGAAGTAGAGGATGATTATGGGTCAGTCCCTACTATCCCCAGTTGCAGCATCTCAGCTAGCAGGGGTCGGAAAAGTCCTTCTTTGCTTGGGATTGTAGAAAGCCACTG